AGTTTAGAGAAGATGGGAAAGTGTTGGGAGCTGTCACATAGGAACCGGGCGCCCCTTAGCCTTGAACGGTGAGAATGTGTAGATGTGGCAAGCCAGCCACAGGCTGTGTATGTGTGTGTGAACTATGAACACCAAGCACACCAAGTGGACTGAATCGATGTTGCCCCTCTGTTTGGACGGGCCTTGCTCTGGTCTTTTTGCTTGCTCTGCCATGATCCCCACACAGCTCATGAGATGGGCGTGGCCTCCCTAGATGTCAGTCAACCTCAGCCCTCTGAAACCTGACCCCTTGCCTCATTTGAATGGCTTCTCCCCAATAAAAGGGATTCAGCATGTGCTCGCTCTCTCTCTTTCCACGGACCCCTAAAGTCAGAGGAGCCGTCACAGGACTCAAAGAAAAAGGTATTTCTCTGTCTCTGTGTGATTATTTTGTGCATCCTAGTTCACTTGGAGTGACTTTGAGTGTTTTAGTCATGGAACGCGACAGGAAAGCTAAAGCTCAGAGAGGGTAAGTAACCTGTTCTGGGACCATTTGGACTACCATCTCCAAAGTTTGTGCTCTTGCTAGATGTTCTCTCAGTTCTGGCCCCGGAGCCCCAGCTAATGCCCAGCAGGGAGGAGGAGGCATTGTACAATATAGCCCATGCTCTCCCTTCTCTGCAAGAGAACCATCCCAATAACTGCAATGAAAGCCCCTGAGTGTTTCACTGCCCAGAAAGAGAGCAGAGAGTAGGGGAGGAGGGGACCACTTGGGCCCAGCATCTGACTGGTGCCCTTGAGGCACAATTGCTGGGGCAGTCAGGGCTGGCAGCCCTTGGGAAGTTCCCGGGGCCACCTGATGCAGAGCTGGTGCAGGGCAGGCCAGGAAACTGAGTGCTGTGTGGCCTGGGGCAAGTCCTCACCCCTCCTGAGTTCCCACTGCTGTAAAATGAGGCCATGGCACTCCCTGAGTCCCAGTTTCCTGAGGTCCTGGATGCTTCGAGGGGACCTGAGGACCTGTGTCCATTCTTTCCAGCTTCTTCCTCTGTCTTAAGCTGCTGCTAGAACTGTCCCCGCCACCCTACACTGGTCATTCTTCCTGCTTCGAAATGAGACACCTGAGAGCATAAAATGGGTGGGAAGAGGACTGCAGACCCCGACACCCGCCAGCTGCAGCCCCTAGGCTGGCAGGAATCAAATGTCTTACAGCCCTAAGGGTCAGCAGGTTGGTGGTTGCTAAGAGCCACAGCCAAGTAATATGATGCATGGCATGTTTGGTTGAAAGGTGACACCAGCAAGCCATTGAGATGATATGATTATGTTAAGATCTGCATTCATATGGATATTGGACTCCTGCTGTCCACCTCGGCCTGCTACGGGACTCCTGGAGAGTTCCCATTGGTTGGGGAAGTGTGGTAGGAGGGAATTCCGGAGGAGGGACTTCCTGTTGGGGTCCCGGAGAACGCTGCGTGGGTCGGTCTTCCGGGCGCTTCCGGGGCATTGGCGGCAGTTTCAAAAATAAAGTTTGTTCCTGCTTGAGTGGCTCGTGATTTTGTGCCCAGCCAGACTGCGGCAGGTGGTGAACAGACTCCTGGGAGAAAATTAGGGTCAACACGCCAGCATGTGGGCACAGGCAACGACCTTCTCATTAGGACCCCTGAAGCTCAGGAACTAATGCCAAGAGTTAATCAATGGGATGGCATCATATTAAAAAGCTTCCGCATAGCAAAGGAAACAATTTGAAATGTGAAAAGGGATCCTACAGAATGGGAGGAAACCTGGGCTAGCTTCTCTTCTGAATATACACAGAATTCAAAAAACTTAACACCGAAAAGAACCCAGTTACTAAATGGACAGATGAACTAAACAGACACTTCTCAAAAGAAGACATACAAATAGCCAACAAATATATGAAAAAATGCTCTACATCATCAACAATTAGGGGAATGCAAATCAAAACTATACTGAGACTTCATCTCACAATAGTCAGAATGGCAGTCATCAAGAACACAAATAACAGAGGGGTGTGGTAGCGCACATCTGTAATCCCAGCAGCTTGGGAGGCAGAGGCAGGAGGATCATGAGTTCAAAGCCAGCCTCAGCAGCTTAGCGAGGCCCTAAACAACTCAGTGAGACCCTGTCTCTAAATAAAATACAAAATAGACCTGAGGATGTGGCTCAGTGGTTGAGTGCCCTTGAGTGCCCCTGAGTTCAATCCCCAGTACCCTCAACCCCACAAAAAGAAATTACAAATAATAATAAAGGATCTGGAGAAAAAGGAACACTTTTACACTGTTGATGGGATTGTAAATTAATAAAACCCCTATGAGAATGAAAAGGCTAGGCATGGAACCACCATATGACCCAGCTATCTCAGTTACTTTATCTTTATTGTGAAGAATTAAAGTCCTCATATGGTAGTGATACACACATACCCATGTTTTTAGCAGAACAATTCACAATAGCCCAACTATGGAACCAGCCTGGGTGTCCATCAATGGATGAATGGATGAAGAAAATATGGTGTATGTACACAATGGAGTTTTATTCAACCATAAAGAAAAAAGAAATTATAATCATTTGTAGGAAAATGGATGAAACTGGAGAACATTATGTTAAGCAAAATAAGCCAAACTCAGATGGTCAAGGGTTGTATGTTTTCTCTCATATATAGAAGCTAGAGAGGGAAAAAAAGGTGGGGAGGTGGGGGATCTCATGAAAATCAAAGGGAGATTAGTAGAGGAAAGGACCAGGAGGTGAGAGGAGAGGAGGGAGGGAGGAATTATATCATTATATTGTGTACATGTACAAATGTGTAACAACAAATCCATCATTATGTTCAACTATAATACACCAATAAAAAATGTGAAGAATAAAAAAGAAACTCTCATACACAACAGTGGGGATGTAAACAACTCTGCAAGTCCATAGGCTTGCAGTCAAAGCTGGCCTGGGATCAAATCTCAGCTCTGGCATTTACACACAGTGTGACCTGGGGCAAGTTAGTTAACCTCTCTGAACCCGTTGCATCATCAATCAAATCTCATAGAGTTATTGTGAGGGTCAAGTGAGGATGTGTGTAATGTGGATGGTGTAGTGCCTAGAGCTTAGTAGCTGCTCAATAAATAATAGCTACAACCCTTCCGTTCTTCCCCTCCCCTGGAGGGTCAGGGTTGTCGATGGCAGGAGCTGTGACATTAAGAAGTTCAGGGATCAAGGTACATGGCCTCTCCTCCATCTTGCCAGGTCCCTGCTGCCCTTCCCTCATGGTTCTTGGTGACAGCCTGAGCACAGTCAGAGGTGGCTCCACCTGGACTGTAGCAGAAACCCAAACAAAGGGACATTTCCCATGCCTGAAGAGTCATCTTCTAAAGGAACACTAAAGAATAAAAAAAAAAAAAAAAGCCAGAGGCTAAAGTCAAAGAAGTCAAAAAAGACCAGAGTCCGGAGGGCATGACCTAATCATCCCGGATGATGCCATGCTCCACTCTCACACCCATGGCAGACATCGCTAATCAATCACCGAGCTGCCCTCAGAATCCTGCTGAACCCAAGCTTCACATAGCTTGTACCAGTCAATGACAGGAGCCCATCCCCCTCAGCCCCTTCTGCTTCAGGGCACATCAGCCAGGCTTACAGCTGCCAGCACTGACTTTTCTTTGCTTACTTCAGGCCAGCAGGGCCAGGAATGAACAGCCACCAGCCACTGTCAATCAATGGCCAGCAGGGATGGGGACTAAAGCTGCAGTGCCCTCAGCCTCCGGTCCGGTACCTCACGGGGGTGTCTTCTCCACCAGGGTTCCTGAATGCCCCAGAAGGGCCCCGTTCCACTAGCACAATGGGAGCTGGCTGGCCCACGAGCTCTTGGTGAAGCCCTTTGTCCCTGTCCCCTACCCCTCACTTCCCAGCCCACGTTTCTTGGGCTCATTCCCATTTACATCCATTTCCCTTGGTTCTTGTCTTGGGGTCTGATTCTGGGGAATCCTAAACTCAAACACCCCTTCCTCCATAAAATAAATATCCCTTTATTTTATGGAAGGGAAAGAGTGGTTTTCCCAAGCCAGAGCCAGAGACAGGGCCCTAATGAGAACCCCATTCTCCAGGCCTAGGATTTACTCCTTCCCAGTGTCATTTGTTACCTCTTGGGGGCTGTCCCTGGTCTGCCCATCCCACTCCACCCCCAGGGATTCTATTTCCCAATGATCACAGGTTAGAAAACCCAGGGGCACCAGACACAGTGTGCAGGGAGACTCTGCCTGAAACCCCCGGACTTATTTCAGAAGGTGACACCTCTTTTCTCTTGGTGCTGGTCCTTAGACCAGGCCCATAAACTTCTAGAGCCCCAGTGTCCTGAGCAGTGGAGTAGGTTGCTGGGGAAACCGTACCATGCTGGTGTGTGGAAGGAGCTCCCTGACTTCCCCCACCTCAGATGCCATCTCAGGAAAAATAAGAACCCACAGTGCCATGTTTTAAAAGACAATAATCCAAAACTATATTTGCTTTGTAACTTTAGTGGCAAATGCATATTCTTTCAGCTGATATTTCCTACTTAATTGAACAGGAGAACATCCATGAGAAAATGACCCCTGCTTTCTAGCACTGGAATGTAACTCTGGATATTTCTGCGTGTACCCGGCACCCTGGTGCAGCCAGTGCCTTGAGATGCTGCAGTCTCACCTTTGATGTGGAGGAAAAAGCACATGCTAAAAAGTTTACAGAGTTTAAATCTCACCCCTCCACCCACTGTGTGACCTGGAGCCCAGGGTGGTTTCTCCCTCTCTGAACGTCGGGCTCTTCATCTGTGCAGTGGGAGTGAGGAGTTCACCTACTGTGCTGCTGTCAGACTGAGCGTTGCCTCCCTGCCCAGTCCTCTGCCAGGGAGGCAGCTGGGAGGGGACCACCCACAGAAGAGGGTGCGGCCTCTTGTTGTCCCTCCTCCAGGTAGCCCCTGGTGACAAGATAGGGTACCTGTTGAGTTCTCTGCTCTCTACCTCAGTTCCTGAAGTCTGGGTGCTGGAGGCATGAACAAGATCTTCCCCCAGGTAAGAGCTGCCCTGAGCTGGCTCCTGCCCTCAGGATGGTAAACCCTGCTCCTAGGAGTGGAGAAGAAAGGGGGGTCCTTTGACACCCTGCTGGGCCACCAAGGTGAGTCAGAACCCACCCTACCACATGGCAGGGGTCCCAGCAGGTGAACCAGCCAGAGTTCAAGTGGCCAGTGCTGGGCAGGAGCCGGGAGCCAGGTGCACAGAGACCGGGAAGCGATCAGCACTGTGGCAGAGGGGCCCCAGGGAGGAGCGGCCGGAGCAAGTTGCAGGATGAGTGTTTGCCAAGTGGACCACAGAGGAAAAGGGATTCCGCCCCATCAGCGAGTGGAAATGGGAGGCAGTAGCAAGAGTGTGGAGCACTCAGTTACAGCTGTGGGACCAGGAGTCTTATCTGAGGCTCTCAGCCACCCATTCTGAAGACGCCCTGAGGCTGGGCACCGCCTCTCCTAAGGCTCTGTTCTTTTGGGCAGGGGGATGTCACCCGCAATGCTGCTGCTGGAACCAAAGCCCGCCCTGGAGGGGAAGGTAAAGGACCTGAGGCCTGTGGGCCTCCTCCCACGGGTGGGGATGCCTTGGAGCCCAGCAGCCGGCTGCAAAGGCACAAAGAGGGTCCAAGCCTCCACTGTCCTTCTGCCCCCCATATAGATGGCATCTGTTCCCAGCTTCCTGGCCAGTCATGCCGACAGTCAGTTACTTAATAGGACTGTTCATTATCTCCATGCACAAGCATTTATGGGGCACCTACTGTGTGCTATGTCCCTCACAGGCGCTGCACTGCTTACAATGCCCCCATGTAATGTTGAGAAAGGAGCCCAGAGTCAAATCCCTGACTCGATGAGTGACATGGGCAACTCTCTGTACCTCTAAGGGATCAAGCACCCCAGGATCACACAATTATTTAGCACTTATCATGTGCCACTGACTCACGGTGCTACCAGGGCTATTTATTCTCTTTGCCTTTATGAAGTAAAGGGAAGTAAGAGCATGTATTTATTGAGTGTCTCCCATGTGCCTTGTCTTGACCCACGTTTGCTCTATGACAAAACAGACCCAAAGAGGAAGATGGCAGCAACAGCTATAAAGAATCCACCCTACTATGTGTCTGGCTCTGCACCATCTCTTTCAATCCTCAGAACAGCTGTTTGCAGGGTTGGGTGTTATTAAGAGCAATAACAGATGAGACAGCTGAGGCTAGGAGGTTTGGGTAATCAGGTCACCATCACCCAGCTGGAAGGTGGGAAAGACAAGGTTGAAATTCTAACCAAGGTCCCTCTTGTAGCAAAGCCCAGTGCTTTTTTTGTTGTTGTTGTTATGGGTGCTTACTACTGAGCCATATCCCCAGCCTTTTTTATATTTTATTTTGATACAGGATCTCACTAAGTTGCTAAGGTCTCTCTAAACTGCTGAGACTGGTTTTGAACTTGCGATCCTCCTGCCTCAGCCTCCCCTGGTGCTGGGATCACAGGCACGCTCCACTGTGCCCGGCCCAGGGCCTTTGCTGCTCTGCACTGGTGTTTCTGTTTCCAAGTCCTAGCTCACGGTGGGCGTGGCTGCCGGACCAGCAGGTTCCTTTCCTCCATCTGTCCAGGGAGGCAATGACACATAAAGATTTTGGGGCTTTGCAGTATGTCATCTTCTCCTGGGAGTGAGCTTCAGTTTAGCAGGTTCAGCACTGAGTCCCCCCTCTCCCTTCCCCCAGGGACCCCACCTTGCAAGTAGCCTATGCTGCACAAATATTTGAGAAGTGGCTGCTTGGCTGAGCAGGACACCTCCCCTTGCCCAGCTTTGCACTGTCTCCCGGGTTACCTGCCCTGTGTTTACCTGCCAGGGCTGCAGGGATTATTGGCTTTAGAGCCTCCTGTCGACCTGCTTTTGTCACCTCTCCCAGCACAGGGCACGCCCACATCCTGTCCTGCAGGCCATCCACCAGCTTCCAGGTTTCCATGGCCTCTCCTGGAACACCCTCTTTAGGCCTCCCTGGCCTCCCCTGCAGGGGTAGCGCCCATGCTTCTGAAGCTGCATGGAGCTCACGGGGCACCTGGCCCACACTTTCTTAGCACCCTTTACACCTAACGCCACCCAGGTCCACTTCTAACTGGCAGGTGGCTCTGGGCAAGTGAGTGGATTGAGTGGAAATGACCCAAACTCATCAAATTGATAGCCTTCCCCTGGATCTCTGGCTGAGTATATTCCCAAAATATTCACAAAGCACCTACTGTGTGCCTGCCTCAGAGGTAGTAACAGATATGAATCAACCTGCTCCTGCCCTTTTTTTTTTTTTTTTTTGGAGGTATCTGTGACCTGGACCTGACAGTAGCCCACACTCATTCCTGTGTTCATGCTTCACCTTCTAATGCAACCATAAAATTTTGGGGAACAAAATCAGAGCCACAGTTACTTTTGTGTCCTCTTCAGAGCAAGATACCCAGAAGGTCCTCAATTAAGATTTCTTTCATTATTTTGCCAGCAAGAGAGGATAAAGGAGCAAAGTGTAGTCCTAGGAGCACTGCTATACACAAGAGAGATGCTCAATAAACACTAAGAATAGCTCACACCTAGCACTTATTATGTGCAAATGCTGTCCTGGTATACTAATTCAACAAACTGACCCATACGATGGTCCCCATTTTCCATATGAGGAAACTGAGGCACAGAAAAAATAAGTGACTTAATGTTGCTCACCTAGGAAGTGGTGGAGCTGGGACTCCAGTGTACTGACAGGCTTTAGAATGGACAAGCAACTAAAATCCTGGAAAGGATACCAGTTGTGGCATTTGACAGTGTGGACGCACATCCTAGCTTTTCATAGAGTAAACTGGACCTTTGCTTCTCTGAACCTTAGTTTCTTCATCCATCAAAATAAAGGGTGGTTTTGCTGGGCATAGTGGTGCACACCTGTAATCCCAGCGACTTGGGAGGCTGAGGCAGGAGGATCACAAGTTCAAGGCCAGCCTCAGCAACTTAGTGAGATGCTGTCTCAAAATGATAAAAAAAAAAAAAAAGGGCTGGTATAGCTCAGTGGTTAAGCACCCCTGAGTTCAATCCCTGGTACCAAAAAATAAATAAAGGGTGGTTTTGAAAAATAGAAATAATGGTTATGAAGGACTTGATGTCACTTCCACCCCACAGTAGGGACTAAATGCACAGGTTTCCATCTCTGCATCCTGAGGAGGCTGCCTGGAGCATAGGCGGGTGAGGACTGTGGAGGATGAGGTCTGGAGCAGAGGCCAGCCGGGTAGCACTTGGTGGTAGTGGGTTGGCAGGGAGAAGCCAGAGCCCCTTGGAGGATGCAGGAGCCCTCTTTCTGGGAAGTTCTCCTGCCCTGGCCTTCCCTGTGGGGGTGCTTGCTGGGGCCAGATCAGTGCAGGGGACCCCTGGGCCCAGTGCTAGCCACTGGCTGCAGCATAAACATGTGTCCCAACCCTCACAGCAACCTGCGGCCCCTGCTGCTCCCGACGTGGGGCCTGCCTCTCGGCCTTCCTGCTGTTCCTGCTGGCAATGCTCACGGCCCTCATCACCCTGGTCACCATCGTTGGACTCCCTTCACGCACATCAGGTGGTCATGAGGGGATGGGTCAGACCTGCTGCAGGGTACGGGGAGCCCAGCCCTCCCTGGCTTCTGCAAGTGCTTTTTGCACAATTCCTTAGGATGCAAACGCAGACACACACTGTACACATGTCTCTGAGCCTTGGTTTGCACATCTATGACACGAGTTGTTGAGAAGACCCAGCTCTGATGTCGCCTCCTCCTAGAAGCCTTCCCTGACTCCGAGGCTGGGTTAAGTGCCTCATGTCAGCCCCCACAGCCTCCACACTTCTCTTCCCCTATCCCGGTCACCCAAGAGATGGCTCTGCCGCCAGGCAGGGTGGGTGTAAGGGGACAAGATGGGGAGAGAGTGAAATTCACAGTCCTCTGCATTCCTGTGCAGGAACAGGGGACTGAGCAGAGCTGGGAATACGCAAGGAGTCGCAGTCACATGCCTGTGTGCACATGCGTGTCTGTGAGCCCGCGTGTGCCAGTAGTGTTTGCATGCACCTGGACGCACGGGTATGTGTGTCAGTGTGGGCGTGTCCACGTGTGGGCCTGTTGTCGGTGTCTGCATGGGACTGTGCATGTAGGTGCAGATGTCTGTGTGAGCATGCGTGTGTCAGTGTGGGCGTCTGTGTGTGTATGTCTGTGACAGCCTGGTGTCCCTGAGCGCTGGCCTTCTCACACTAACCGAGGGTGCCAGGAGCTGAGATGTGGCTCACGTGAACATACACACACACACACACACACACACACGCACACAAACCTGCTGCCATCCCCAGTGAGCACACACATACACGTGCACAGTCTGGGGCCAGGGGACATCTCATCTGCCAGTTTCTTTCCTAAGTCTTAGGAGCAGCCCTAGGGGTGAATATGTAGGTATCTCTTCTCTCTGAGGGGGGTGACAATGACATTTCAGGGATGCTTGGGGAACAATGGGATGAAATTGAGACCGTGTTCTGTGGACCATGAAGCTGAGCCCAGATGTGAGGGATCATGACCCACAGTCCTCATGACAGCCCAAATACATTGCTTCTGAGGTTTCCCTGAGTGGAGCACTGTCCCCAGAGCCTCCTGTGAGAGTGCAGATAAGTCTTCAGTAAGAGCCGGGACCGAGGCTGATTGTGTGCCTTCAGTGCTCTAGGTGTGTCTACAGAGAAGCGTTTACTGCACCCACATGAGTCCTACGGGGGTGGGCTTTGGGTCTCATTGTGCCGGACTTAGCTCTCCTCTGGGAAGCCCTCCCTGGGTCGAGAGGTCAGATCATCTGCTCAAGGTTATACAGCTGGCAGGAGGCCACACTGGGACTTAAAGGATCCCTACCACTGAGTCCAGGGCCGGTGTACTGTCCCAGCCTCTCAGGGTGGAGCTTGGGTGGGGCTCAATGCCCGCCTAGGTGCTGCCCTTGTGAGCACCACCCTGACTCTCTGGGGCCTCCCCTACCCACACAGGGGCCCAGGCCTGTGTGACGCTGACTAACAGGACAGGCTTCTTGTGTGGGGACCGGAGGAGCTGCATCTCCGCCAGCCAGGTGTGTGATGGCCTTCGCACCTGTCCCCACGGCGATGACGAGGATGAGAGCTTGTGCCGTGAGTGCCCCTTAGTCATGCCCTGCCCAGATCAGCCCTCCTGAGGGTGGCCCCCACCTCATCTTTCCCTGCAGCTCCACTGAAGCCTGACCATCTCTGAGCAAGTCAGGCCCCAGGCCTTTGAAGATACAGTGCCTCTGGCCGGAAACCCCTGTCCCCACCCTGCCTCAGTCAGGTATACACGCGTACATGCCTTCACTGTGCACCTCCACTCCCAGAGGACCTGTATTCGTCCTTCAAGAAAGAATTCAAGGGCGAAGTAGCCTCCAGGAAGCCTCCCCTGATTCCTGCACTAGGTTGAGGGTCCACAACTGCCGTGCCTCCCTGGGACCCAGCCCGAGGCTTATTGGTGTCATCTCTGCAGCCCCATCGGACTCAGCTCCCCTGGGGCAGTTCTGGTCTGCTTGAGCTCGGCACAGATGGGTATCTGGAATGACACCAAATGAACCAGTGGACGAATGGATGGGAAGACCTGGACCCACACCCCAGAGGCCAGACAGATCTCAGGAGAAAGGAGAACCAGCAGGGGGGAGATTCAGTACCTGAAGCCCCAGGGGGGAGAGAACCTGATGAGGTGGAGTGGAGCCGAGCCGGCAGGGACAGTGCCTGGCGCTCAAACCCTGAACAGCCTCTAGTCGGTGCCCCAGCTCCTATCCACCCCCTCTGCCAGAAGCCCCGACAAGTCACCAACCTCTGCTTGCATATTCCTGGGATGGGGAACTTGCCACCTGGGGTGGCCGCCCCCAGCTTTGAATGCTCTTCCCAAGGAAAGGCATGCCTTGTCCTGCAAGTACTGCTATTTCCAGTGTTTTCCCAGACTGGTTCCCGCCCGGCTCTCTCCTCGACCCCTGCCCCAATAGACCATCTTTCAATCTTTCTCCTGTGATGGTGGTTCTGCATGGATTTGGGGGTTCCCTCTCTGGCCTGCTTCTTTAGGTCACACCCTGAACTCCCACAGTCACCCTCCAGGGGACCCGGTTCCTGCTCCCTCCCATTCTACCAGTGTACACATACCAACTGCCCATGTCCCTCTCCCTGGTCAGGCCCCAGAAACATCCATCACACTCCTGCCTGAATCTGTCCAGTCCAAGGATCCCCAGTCTGGATCTTTTCCCTCCAGTATGGATGTGGCCTAAGTTTGTGTGAACTTTGGATTTTCCTGTCACACGGCTGCCTAACACAGAGCCCACTTTTGAGAAAGGTGCTCTGGGTCCCTCTCATGAAGCGTTTAAGCCACACCTGCTTAGTTCTGAGACCCAAGTGCAAGAATCGCACCTGTTACATTCCAGTTGGAGGAGGCTTTCTGGAGGTGAAGGAGTTTGAACCTGGACTTGAAGGCAGAATGATTTAAAATTGGTGTCAAGGAGACTCTTCTGGAAGGAGAAATAGCGCAAGCAATGGTGTGGTGGGGAGACGGAGCTGGGTAGGGGGTGAGGAAGGGCGAGGCAGCCCTCTGGGCCTTTTGCTGGATGCACAGGCAAAAAAGTACTCCTCTCTGTGGACTTGACCTCCTCTCCCACGAGACCTGTGCCCTTCCTGGGACGAGCAGGAGGTGACCCTGAGTTTGACAACTGCCAGGGTGGCCAGGATGATCCACCTCCAGATGGCCCCGAGGTAGCTGTGGCTAGGTGTGAACTTCTTCCTGCTTCCTCTGTCCCTCTGCAGGAGATGTGCCCCAGAACCTCCCCAGCTTCCTTGTGGCTCGCTGTGGAGACCTGGCCTCCTGGATCTACTCAGACCAAAAGTGTGATGGGATCAACAACTGCGGGGACTGCTCAGATGAACTGAGCCCAGGTGGGGGACTGGCACAGGAGGGACTGGGGCAGGTGGCCAGGCCGTGGCCAGAGGGCAGAGGTTGACCAGGGAATCTGTGAGGTTCCACTCTACCTGCCTTCCCTGCATCCCGGGAAGAAGCTTTCTACTCCTGCTTGAATGCCTCAGGGTGGGGTGCTCACTACCTCGGGGCCTCCTGGCGGTTCTTTCTCCTATGAGGGGCAACTTACCTTTGAGGGCACAGATGAGGACACTGGGACCCAGAGGTCATCATGTAAGGAGACGTGCATGGCCCACCTGGGATTTGAACCTGGGTTTTCCCCATGAAGAAAGCAGGGCAAGAATGGCTGGACCCGACTTGTATGTAGGTAAGCTGAAGCTCCAAGAGGAGAAGGGACAGCAAGTGACAGAAAGGGACCTCGGGTGAAAACCCGTCTCCTGACTCCCTGTCTGGAGTCTTGCTCCTTTAAATCCCTTCCCTGGTGTTCAATCAACAATCACGCCCAGAACACCGTTGGGCCTGGGCCTGGTACAAGATTCCAGTGGGGGACAGTCAGGGGTCAGAGAAGGATGCCCCCAGGACTCACATCATGCCGACGACAAAAGGAAATGCTGGGCCCTGAAGGAGGCAAGGGAGGCTTGTCAGGAGAGGTGACGTTCCAGGGTTTCAACAGCTGGGCGTGCTGGTGCATGCCTGTAATCCCAGCTACTCTGGAGGCTGAGGCAGGAGGATCACAAATTTGAGGCCAGTCTGGGCAATTTAGTGAGACTCTGTCTCAAAATAAAATAAAAGGGACTGGAAATGTAGCTCAGAGGCAGAGCACTTGTCTAGCATGCACAAGGCCCTGGGTGTGTTGCCCAACACCGAGGGGCGGGGGGAATAGATAGGGTTTCAACAGGCAGGGGCTGACATGAAGTCCAGGGTACAGGGTACAGGGTACGGGGCAAGGGAGAGAAGTCTGTGAGGCACCATTGGGGAACCTTCAGGGGTTGGTGTAGCTGGAGTTAGGGTAAGGCTGGGAGGTAGAGCAGGTGATAGGGAGGGGGAATCAGCAGCCATTCATATTTGAGCACTACTGTCTTCCTTAATAACAACCTTGAGTAGATGCAGAAACTGAGGCTCAGACAGGGTGAGGGAGGAAACACCGAGTAGTGGGGTCTCAATTCTCTCCTCTGCAAGAAAACCAAGAACACAGTCAGCCCATGTCAGATGGGGTGGGGTTACGGGGAGCTATGGCAGGTTTCAGAGCTAGGGAGTGCCCTGGGGCCTGGAGTGCTCCAGGACACCACAGTGGTTCTTCTACCTGCTTTTATCCCCTCAGTGACTGCATGCCCACCCTGTGACGCTGGGTGGTGGCGCTGCTCTCCAACTGTCTTCAAATACTGCAGCTGTATCCCAAGGACTCTCTGCCAGGACCACGTGCAGCACTGCTCTGACTGGTCCGATGAGTACTCCTGTCCCGGACCCTGAGAGGGCCTTCCAGGCCAGCGGGAGAGGCTGGTTGGAATGGCACTGGTAACTCTTCACAAGAACGTCAAGTCCTGGACCAAAAGGCAAGAGGAGCCTTCAAAATCTTCTAGCAGGATCTACACACTGTATCTCAATAGGAATTGCCTCTTCACTTTTCCAGTTGCTCAGCCACTGCTTGAATGCCTCCAGTGACAGGGAGCTCACTAACACGTTGTCAGTTTCTAACAAAGACGAGGAGAATCTGCCCCTATGGTTTTAGGCCTGTCTCTGAGACAACGCGGAGGAAATGTGGTCCTCTGCTCCATGCCAGGCTTGCTGATCCCAATCTTGTCCCCTTTAGAAGAAATGTTTGAGACTTAAGTGTCAAGCTAGGAGTTTAGCCCCCAAGGGGGGTACATAAGTAAAGTATATGCCACTCCCTGACTATTTGGTATCTAAGGCAGATGGTGCTGGGTTTGGAGGCCACTTTAGCTAGCTGAGCAGCCCTGGGCTCTTGAGGAAGGGGCTCTATTTTGGTCCCAGAGCTGGACTGAGCCATTTCTCTGCATACTTTTCCAGCTTCACAGCACCCAGGCAGGTAGGGATAGATGTCTCCATTAGACAAATGAGGAAACTGAGGCCCAGAGCAGGAAATGGCTTGCCCAGGATCTTGCAGCAAAGTCAAGGCTGAAACTGTTCCACGTACCCAGACAGGTTCCATGTGCCCTCAACCTCAAGACCTTTCTAAAAGCTACCAATATGGTCCTTCCTTGGCAGGGGCAGTCTCTAAGGGGTATTATAAGAGGTAGCTTGAGGGGCAGAAATGGTCCCACACTTATTCTGAAAGAGAGTCTTGGAATCTGGCCAAGGGGAGGGTTCTTGTTAAAGGAGACAGGTGTGTCCCCATTGGAAATTAGTGAAATTGGTTTTAGATAGCAGTCTTGCATATGTTTTGAACTGAAAATGAGCATTGGAGAGGCTGGTGAGCCCCGGGTCACTCTTCCCCTCTTTCATTCATTTGTTCGTTCATGCATCAGTCTCTGCTTTCTCTGGGCAAACCAGGAGCAGGGTGCTGGTCCCCCCAAGAAGAGAACTGGGTCCCAGCACAGGAGGAATATGGAGTCTTACGGAGATCACACCTCACACCCTGGAGGGATGAGTGGGACAGCAGGAAATTCTGGGCCCCAAGGAAGGACCTCTAGGAGCCAGGACAATTACATCCCTGACTCTGAGCAACTGGAACCAGTTCCTGGGACAGGGAACCTCTGGGCTCCTGCCAGAGGGACAGTCAGCCTTCTGCTCTGTCACCATTGGCTGGGTTTCTTTCCAACTGCAGCCCAAGCAGGGGCTATGGGGGGTCTCAGGCATCGAACTGGCCTTAGGGGGCCGGGAGGCTTTTCAGAGGGTGGGGTAGAGGAAAAGGACATTCCTGAGTTGGTCCATGTGAACTGAGACGTGACAGGGTACAGCTCAGCCAGGGAATGTCCACCCAACCAGTGGCCAAAGCACAGGGTGGCAGAGGAGACAGCTGGAGAGGGGGGAGCAGGGACCGAGCATGATGGGCACAGCATGTCGCACTTCATCCCAAGGCCAGTGAGGTGTCATGGTGGGGGGCGTGAAGCAGGAAAACGGAACTGCTTTTAGAGCACTTAAGACCTCTCACTTGTAGACAGGCGGCTTGTTGAAGGGCATGTTTCTGGTGGGGACCGGAACCAGACGCATGGACTCAGAAACCTAGGTGCGTGCCGTGACAGCTCAGTATTCTGTGCTGTCTCTGGAGGGCTGGAAAAGCTTGCTCAGAGGGGTCCCCTGTCTCAGGAGCTGGTTCCAGTTGCTCAGAGGGGATGGCTGAGCAGGGCCTTGACCCCGAAGAGGACTGAGCCAGGAGGAAAGCGGGAAATGGAGGACAGATGGATTTGGGACAGGAGTAGGGGCTGGGCAGGGACAGGCAGCCAGGCGCAGGGAGGGCACCAGTAACTAAAGGAGCATGAAGTGTTCCCTGTGCCCAGACTGCACAAGCTGTAGAGAGGGACCTTGACTGAGAGGGTGAAGTAGCTGCAACCAAGGCTCAGGAAGGATGACTGAGCACCAGGTTAGCTCACAGCCTTGCCAAGAGGGCAAAGTGAGATCCAGAATGCAAATGCCATCAAAAAACAGAAGAAGGGTTGCCAAGAGCCGTGCCAGAGGCTCTGGGGAGTATTAGCTGCAGTGTTTAGTGAGCACTTAGTCCAGGCTTGGCACCGCTGCAAGCCTTGTCTCTGGAATATCATTTCCTCCAATTCTCAAGAACCTGGTTTATTACTCACACCCTTCCAGAGGCACAGAGAGATGAAGCTGCTTGCTTACCATCACATAGCCTTCAGGATAGAGCCAGGAGCTAAACTTACACAGCCCAAATTCTCAGCCCATCACAGCCCTCCTGATGGCTCACTCTATGTCAGCCTGGTCTTCCCAGCCAGGAATGGGGAGCCAGGGAGCCACAGCCTGCAAACAGGAAGTGGCTGAGGTTGGCAGAACCTGTGTTTATTCCTCTGTTTATTGATTTTTCCTTTCAGAAAGGAGCAGGTGCCATAGCAATATCCCAACAGCGCTGCTTATGCAGGCCCCCAGAGACAGCAACGCAGGGCAGCCTGGCAGGCCCTCCCCAGACCAAGGAGGCAGAGTAGGCTGGAGCAAGAACCCAGCAGCCCGTGTCAATATTTGTCTTCTCTCATCCTCCCTGGCCCCAGCAACAAGATCAGGACTTTAAGTACAACAGGTTCTTTGCTGTGCAAACACTCAGGGATAGATTAATGGAATTTAAAGTGGCTCAGGCTTGGCCCCAGGGTTTGGATTGGAAATCTGGTCTGGTTTAACTGTCTGCTGTCACTGTTGGCCCCGGGCTCTCCTTTCATCCTTAGGCTCACAGAGCCACAGACATTAGAGCTAGTAGGGACCTCAGAGGCCGCCAGGCTTTTTTTTTTTTTTAACATTTATTTTTTAGTTATAGATGGATACAAATCCCCATTTTATTTTTATGTGGTGCTGAGGATCGCACCCACTGCATCTTAAATGCTAGGTGAGCGCTGTACCTCTGAGCCCCAGCCCCAGCCCCATCAGCCAGGCTTTTGACAAAAGAGAACACCAATCCAAAGCTGCACTGCCTAGTGGTTATTGCTGGGGATTTTGAGGGCCATCCACAACTCCAGACCAGGTAGAAGCAATTTCCCTGAGTCCTAAAAAGGCACATGCACACATGTATTCACACAATAGTCCTTGTTTGTCTGTGGGGATGTACTCCAAAACTCCTAGAGGATGGGCAAATAGCATCAAAACTACATATATTATGTTGTTTTCTATACATACATAGAAAAGTTTGATTTATAAATTGGGCATGATAGGAGATTAATGACAATGACTACTAATAAAATAGCGATATACTGTAATACAGCAATATACTGTAATAAAATTGCCAGTAACAGTTCTCTTGTGCTTTCGGGCATTATTAAGCAAAATAAGGGTTACTTTAATACAACACTGCAATGTCTCAATAGTCAAGGGCTATTAATTTCTAACAGGAGGGTAGTATATACAGTGTGGATATGCTAGGATGTCTTTTTTCTCTGATTACTTTTCAGATTTTCTTTATCATTGCTTTTGAACAATTATATTATGATGTGTGCCTTGGTGTGGGCTTCTTGGTCCAATCTACAAAAAATTTTTTTTAAATTTTTTAAATATTTATTTTTCAGCTTTGGGTGGACACAACATCTTTATTTGTATGTGGTGCTGAGGATCAAACCCGGGCCGCACGCATGCCAGGCGAGCGCGCTACCGCTTGAGCCACATCCCCAGCCCCCAATCTACAAAAATTTTGACCATTATTTCTTTAAGTATTTTCTCTGTCCCTCTTCTTCTCCTCTCCTCATAATCTCTAATTACATACATACTGAGCAGTATATGTCCACAGTTCACTAATATTCTGCTCATGGTCTTACAAATTGTTTTTCCTGGGCTGGGATTGTGGCTTAGTGGTAGAGCTTTTGCTTAGCACATGCGAGGCCCTGGGTTTGATTCTCAGCACCACACAAAAATAAATAAATAAAATAAAAGATACTGTGTTCAACTACAACTAAAAAATAAATATTAAAAAATTGTTTTTCCTCTCAGCATTTTATTTTGGATAGTTTCTATTGATCTGTCTTCAAATTCACAGTTTCTTTCTTCTTCAATATTTAATTTGTCATTAATTCCATTGGTGCATTTTTCACTCCGAAGTTTGATTTGGGTCCTTGATATTCTCCATGTCTCTACTTTAACTCTTCAACACATGGAGCACAATTATAGCTATTAATCTCTTTCTCTCTCTCTCTGCCGATTCTAGTATCTGTATCAGTCTTGAGTTGATTCAGATAAACTGAGTTTTCTCCTCATTGTGAAGTATACTTTCTTGCTTCTTTTAATGCTTAGTAGTTTTATTTAAAAAATATTTATTTTTTAGTTGTAATTGGACACAATACCTTTATTTTATTTACTTATTGTTATATGGTGCTGAGGATCGAACCCAGGGCCTTACACATACTAGGTGAGTGCTCTACTGCTGAGCCACAAGCCCAGCCTCCTAGTAGTTTTATTTTAATACAATAGCTTTATTGTGTTATAATTTACATACCATATAATCCATTCATTTAAAATGTACTATTCCATGTTTTTTAGTATATTCAGAGTTGTGCAGCCATCATCATATTCACTATTAAAACATTTTCATCACAACAAATAGCAACCCTTGTAACTATTAACAGTCATCCCCAACTACCCATTCTTAGACAATTACTTTGTTTCTGTAGAATTACTGTATTAGTCAGTTTTTTGGTTGTTGTTTTTTTTTTTGCCACTGTGACCAAAATACCTGATAAGAACAGTGTAGAAGAGGAAAAGTTTATTTGACACTCAGAATTCCAGAGGTCTGAAATCATGCTCTGGTCCCAAGGTGAAGTAGAACATCATGGTGGAAAGCTGCAGAGGAGGAAAGCAGCTCAGGACATGGCAATCAGGAAGCAGAGAGAGCTCCACTCACCAG